TTAGTATGCTTAACACTATTCCTTGCATTTTATATAAGGAAACAGGCTGAGAATGAGAGTCAGGACATAAACCCAGCTGTCAGACTTTAAAGCCAGATTTTTAAACAAAATGCTACATTCAAAGTTTTTTTTTCTGAAATATTAACAAATGCTGAGCCTTGAAACTCATAAAATTCTTGACATCTCTGAGAGGGTATCAAATAGACAATAGCTTGTTCTGTTTGGGGCCACAGCTGGTATTCACTCCAGTCCATTCCAGCCCTTTGAGTTGTCCCTCCAGCTCAGAGCTGCTTTCCCCAAAGACCCTCCCTCCCCACGTGTGTCTGTTCTGTTTTGGGGGCCACAGCTGGTGGTACTCAGGGGACTATATGTGGTACCCACGATCAAACCAGGAGCAGGCAAGGGCCCTACCTCTTGTACTACCTTTCGGGGCCCCTAAAATTAATTTTAAAGAAGGAAAAACAACAAAATTACCTGGAAAATTACTAGGTATATCCTTTAAATAACACATAATATAGAAATATACTCATGAAACAAATTTCACTTATTATCACTCATTCTAATTATTATCATTCTAACAACTCTGACTCTAGCATATAATCAATTTTGAATTAAGGAATTAAGTATTACTTGAGGTATTGTTAAACACACATTTTAAAAAAAGTGTTTGTCAAAAAGTATCTCGGCACTTTCTTCAAGTACACACGAAGTATTTTAAAATACCTTATACCAGTCTATTTTTCTTCATGTTATGAACGAACTTTAAATATACACAAATTACATTAAATCCAATTGATATTTTGAACTTAGTATTTTGAACTCATAATCAACAAATTAAAAACCTTATTTTTCAGGTACTCGAAAACCTCACATTATGTGAATGACTACAAAATCACCTTACTGGTTCTTTAAGAAAATAAATATATTCAAATATTGTGTTTGTCAGGTCACCTGACGAGGCCACTCCAAAGGCCATCAGTAACACACTTACAGTCCTTCCCCTGGGAAGCTGGGAGAGAGCTCCAAAGGCTGGAACCTATGCTTTGCATATGGGAGGTCTGGGTTTGATTCCTGACACTGTCAAAATTGAGCCGAGTACCTGAGCTAGGAGCATCCTTTAGCACCACCACCTATGATCTTGTTTTTGGATCAGAGAGAAAGCTCAATGGGCTGGAACAATACCTTACATGAAGGAGACCAGGGTTCAAGTCCTGGCACTGCATGGTCCCCTGGGCAATGCCAGGTACAACTATAGCCACAGAGCCGGAAGTTGCCCTTGAGCACTGCTAGGTGTCACTTACAAACAGAACAAAATAGAAAAAAAAAACCTCCTGGGCTCGATGTTCCATCCCCCAACACTGCACCGCCAGAAGTGATGCTCAAGCACTAAGTCCAGAACAATCCCTGAACACCACCAGGTGGGGCCAAACAAATGAGGTTCTTGTGGAGCAGGGAGACTGCTCTAGGAGACTGCTCAACGCGCTGCCAACCACAAACGAAAAATATTTTAGAATTCTCATTATGGGTTACCCACAGAGCATGCTGGTGAATCAATCTCTTTAACGGGCTTTCTGAGGATGGAGCCCAGGGCTCCTACAGGCGGAAATGCACTCTGGTCCTTACTGCTACCTTCCGGGCCTAAACCAAATACTCTCTTTGGCATGCTCAGTGATAGCAAATCTTGCTCTTCAGCTACATATGGGAATCTTCCAACAGGAATTTAACCTCTCAGGCATTCATTCACAAGACTGTGTAGCACTATTCTAAAGTAAAATTCTGAATGAAAACTTGTATTAAAATTGTAGTAAAAAGTCATAAAATGGAGCAAATATGTGATTTCCTGTATCTGAGGCACCCAAAATAGTGCAATTCCTTAGGATTCCCAGCAGAATGATGGCTACCAGGGGCTAGAGAAAGGGAGGAGGAAAAGTTACTGATTGACAGGCATAGTTTCTTGGGAAGATGGAAGTTCCTAGAGAGAGAGAGATGGTGCTGAGTTAAACAACAATGTAAATGTACTTAATGGCAAGGAACTATGCACTTAAAGGTGGTTAACGTGGTAAAATTTATCTTACCTCTTATAAAGAGTATTTTACCACAATTCCAAAAAATCCAGTCCTAGAACTTGTCACTAAGATAAAGTCTGGATGGGCTACATTTTGCTGACCCCTGAGCTAACACAACTCTCTAAGTCACATTATTTCTTCCTGCTTCAACTTCCTCCCTTTGGAGTGGCAAGACAGAAGGCTACTTAGTTATCAGTAAGATGGAAGACTGTACCCTAGGGCTGTTGTAGTTATTATCAATAGAGAGAAGACTTTACCCACAATAAAGTTCACACATATAACAGTTGTTTCTAGCATTTTATCTTTTCTGAACACACCAGGTTTAAATGAACTACTACTGAAGTAAGAGGCAAAGGGAGAGTAGAAGGTACTGAATGTGATTCCCGTGGAGGATAAAGTTCCGATCATACTTCACTTCCTTCCAGACAGCTCCTGAACCATTATGTGGAGGAAAAAAGGTCCAAATTGATTCTAGAAGAAATACACACACTGTACCTTTGTTTGTAGGGACCACATCCTCCAGTGCTGGGGGTCAGGGGGCAAAGCAGGTGCCAGGGAAGGACTCAGAACCTGGAACATCTCAGCATATTCTCTACTACAGGAACTATTTCCATGGCAATCAGTATTTTAAAATATATACATAGAATCTGAGTATTTTACTCCGTGCAGTGTTATCATTTAAAAAATGCCCCCTTCCGTTTCGCTCCGCCCTTCACGCCCTACCGAGGCCACCAGTTGCCCCCCACGAGCGGCTCTCCAGCACGGCCACGACTCCAGAACACAGAAACCAATTTCTTAACTATCTGACTTTCAGTAGAAATACTTCCAGGGTCAATAGGTAAAATAGCAGAAATCCAAAACCAACATATAATTCTTGAACCCAGCTGTATAAAGCAAATCACTTCACAATGCTTTTTCAGCATGTCTGATTTGGGGGGGGGGGGGGGAAACTCTAAATAATAGTGGTGAATCTTTTATTGAAACAATCTAATCAAAGCAGATAGAGTGTTAACTAGAATTCATCTGCCTCACAGGGACGGGGAGGGGTGGGGGGTGGGGTTTTATTGGGGTTCTTCATGGGAAAAAATAAGTATTGGTAAAGGGAAATGTGTTTGATATTTGCATGACTGAGACATATACCTGAAAGCTTTGTAACCTTTCCCACAGTGATTCAATAAATAAAAAAAAAAAAAAAAAAAAAATGCCCCCTTCTATCAGGTTGCAGAAAAAAATTTTTTTTTTTTGCTTTTTAGGTCACACCTGGCAATGCACAGGGGTTACTCCTGGCTCTGCACTCAGGAGTTACTCCTGGCAGTGCTCAGGGGACCATATGGGATGCTGGGAATTGAACCTGGGTCGGCCGCGTGCAAGGCAAACGCCCTACCCGCTGTGCTATCTCTCCAGCCCCTGCAGAAAAATTTTTATAAGAAAAAAAAAAAGTTCAGAGATGCTCTAAGTTGAACTACTTAAAGAAAAAAATTAAACTGCATAGAGCCATACATGAGAAACAGAACTAGTGATCATCTTGGCTAATAATGGATTAGGTGGTTAAATTTTAAATGACTACTGCCCAAGCTTTGACAATGCATCAAGCTTTCCATTCGAGAATCTAGAAACGGGAGCTGCAGGAATAGTAGAGTAAGGCACTTGCATGCAGGATAGAGCCATCCACAGTATTCCATATGGCCCCCAGGAGAGATCCAGGAGTAAGCCCTGAGCAAAGCCGGGTATCGACCAAACTACACCCACAAAAGTTTTTTTCTAAGAATCTAGGTAAGATAATTCTAAAGAAAAGCAGTTGGAGAAAAATAAGAAAAGAACTGAACTAAAAAGATTCAAGCACAAATGGTCAAGCACAACAGATCAAGGGAAAACATAACATACCCCGCAAACCCAAATAGAAAACAGTAACACAATTTTTGTAATTGAGTGATCTTAAGTAAAAATATTTTTTAAAAGTTTGATGAATTAAAAATTAATTACCAAAACTGTCTGAAGAAGAAATGAGACCGCTCCCAAAACCTACGCACTATTCACAAAAATTAAGTTGTCCTTTAAAAATCACCCTAGTGTAGTACTGGAGAAAAAGTACCGGGTTTAAGATGCTTGTCTTGGATGCCCCTGGCATGTTTGCAGGGTTGTACAAATCACACACTCGCACAAACATGGTTGGGTGCACCCCCGAAGGCCTCCAGGCAGTACCAACATGGCCCAGGTAGACCCTGGCCCTAGAGGGTACCCGGAGCATGGCATCCTCGAACCCTAGCACTGACTCATGCTAATCACTGGGAGGAGCACTTGGGATTCTAGAGTACTGCTTGTGAGCCCCGCCCCCCCCCCAAAAAACCCACAAAACACAAACAAGTCTTAGTGTCTTACACTACTTCCCTCTCCTTATTTCAGAGATGTTAAGTAAGACAGAGGTTTTACAGGAGGCTATACTAACATTTTCAGATTCGACAGTCCATGTTTATTGGAAAAGCCAAAGCCAGTTAAGAGATATGCCAGTTTATAGAAATGCATTCTATCAGTTTTGCAAAATCATTATAAACAATTTTTATTCTGACCACCAGGAAATCCCACACACAAAAAGAGTGCCATTGTATCATCTGGTAAAGTGTTTCTTCCTTTCAAGTACGCAGAACGCTAAATAATCAAGAAGCAATTTAACTAAATTGCTTCGAAAGGCCATAACTTACACATAAAAAAGTCATATTCTGCAAAAGAAAAAAATATTTATAAAAACATGTGTATGACTATCTCCCAATCCTCCATATTTTTGCTCATTTTCTTTGCTTTAAAGCTTTAACATACCAGTTAAAGATTCATCCTGAGTATGGAAGGGGAAAAAAATTCAATCACAATTAGGTCTTTAGAGCAATATGCCTTCTTCCACTATTACACACAATGTGAAATTTAGGAGGTTTCCCTTACCTGATATGGACATGGAATGTGATATTCTCTGCAGCGTTCCTGTATCCATGTTGTCTCCCAGATGCCACGGTAAGCTTGCTCATAAAAGTAGCATCCGATTACAACCAAGAGTGGTACGAGATAAAGAATGCTGAAAACACCGATTCGGATCATAAACTTCACCAATTTATCTTGGTTCTCCTTTTCTAATGGAATTTCAATTCGAACTCTGTTTAGGGATATAATGCCGGCTAAGAGGAGAGAGACCCCAACTACCACATAGAGGCAGAGGGGGGCAAGAACAAAATATCTCAATGCATCAACATCGTAGAGGCCAACAAAACACACGCCACTGATATTGTCACCTTCAATTTTATTCATCGCTAAAAGGATGATAGTTAGAGTTCCAGGGATGCCCCATGCACTGGCGTGAAACAGCAAGGCTTTCTTCTCAATTGCTTCACTGCCCCACTTTGGCACAGCTGCCAAGAACCAGGTGATGGTAAGAATGACCCACCAAACACTGCCAGCCATAGTAAAAAAATAGAGTACCATAAAAAGCATGGTACAGGCTTTATTATGAGATCCTTGTGTCACTGTGGAAGCTTTATATTGTGCAGGGCTAGATGCATTGCAGGCTACTCGGTCCTCAAGCAAAAACCCAATGAAGAAAATCAACGAAACCATCATGTAGCAGACGGCATAAAATATAATTGGTCTTTCTGGATAACGGAATCTTGTGACATCAATCAAAAAAGTCAGAAAAGTAAACAAGGTGGCAGAAAGGCAAATGATTGAAATCAATCCTATGAAATAGCGAGCAAATGAAAGTTCTTCTCTCCTGAAGTACATATTCGGACAAGGAGGCGAACAATCACGCACGTGCAAAAAAGAATAACCAAGATCAGGATCAATTTTCAACTCTCGGGGACACCAAAAACCATAGTCCCTTTGCACTGCCACTGGGGCCCCTTCTGTAGGGTCTCCAGCTAAATTCAGATCCACGAGTCGAGGATACGGCTCATCACAATCTGGGAACCTACAAAATATAAGAGGAAAATCATCTTTATTGCTAGGAAGTCTACTGATATCTTTGAGTTTCCAAACTTAGAGCGCTTTCCCCTGTTTATTCTTATGTCTTTGACACATGATAATAATAATTAGGAATAAAGTGAATAGCTTGTGGGCCCTATAATTGGGCCTTTCATAACTGAAAAAAAATAAGTGAAAAGCTTTTATACTTAATTTTGTTTTGGCTTCACAAATAGTAGTCTTGGCTTGTTCTCCAAGCCCATATTCCTCCTTGAACAGTATCTCACTTGCCATTCTCGATGTTTCTTTGTTGCCTTTTTCCACTCTAGAGAAGCCTGTGTTTTCTCTTCAACAAGAACTTCTCTCTTTTCTCCCTCTTTACATGTTCCTAAATAAGTTTCATTAAAAACTATCTTGCTTCACAGGGACTGGAGCGATACCACAGCAAGTAGAGCGTTTGCCTTGCACGCAGCCGACCCGGGTTCAATTCCCAGCATCCCATATGATCCCCCGAGCACCGCCAGGAGTAACTCCTGAGCGCAGAGCCAGGAATAACTCCTGAGCATCGCCGGGTGTGACCCAAAAAGAAAAAAAAAACTATCTTCCTTCACACATTCACACACACAGAAAAAAGTAGTCCTTTCAAAAATATTTAATCACAGTCATTAATAATTGACAGTGTACACAGAAACTATTTAGGAGAATTTTAAAGTAAAAATAAATATATACATAATAAAATATACTATTTGTGTACTCCAACAGAATCATAACTAAAAGCTTTTTTCTAAACTTTAACAATATGGTTCTCAATTTATCTAGACTCAAGTAGAATTTATTTAACACAAGCACTAAAACATCTTTCCTAGGGCTGGGGAGATGGCACAAGGGGCCCAGCACAGGCCTAGGTGCTCAAGAGTTTAATCCCTGGCACTGCACAGTAGCCCTTGGCTAAGCTCTGCTGGGAGCTGCCCTTATTTCAAAATATACACACAACTCTTTTCTGAATGCACAGCCCAAGGGTTCCAGTCAGACGATCATTAAAGATCCTTACAAGAGGTTTAGATTTTACATAACATTCTTGCTTTAGACTCACCCTCTGCTTATCATATGGGATAATGAAGGGCCTTTTAGAGTCCATACTGTCACTTATTTTTTCACCATCCCTCATTTCTCTCCAACCATGGCATTCTCTTAATTCAGTTATAAGCCAAATTAGTTTAGGGTACATAAATTATTATATGAATTATGAATACGAATATATGGTGGATATATGAAATTTTTAGGTCACTGTTTAAATGTAAATTCTTTTCTAGATAAACAAGTTTAAATTGTATTTGTGTATGAGTTTTTTCTTAGTTGAGGTAGCATGGTTTACAATGCTATTAATTATGTTTGAGGCATACAATGTTATCGCACAAAAGGCAAATGTCCGTCACCATTGTCCTAAGTCCCTTCTCATCTGTCCCTGCTCCTCCACCCACTCCCCCCTCCCATGCTGGTTGGTAACCACAGTTCCATTGTCAGAATCTAAGGGTTTGCTTTCACGGGACACTGTTCCCTTGTTTTGTTCCTTCATATACCACATACGAGTGAGATCATGCATCCAGTATTTGTCTCTTATTTTGTTTAACATGATACTCTCAAATTCTGCCCATGAAATGGCAAAAGATTTCACTTTCTTTTGTGAGTAGAATTCCACTGTTCATACACACGAGTATGTGCACTCACACACACACATACACACACACACCACCACCACCATCACCATTAAGAAGTATCAATATTTGCTCTTACCACAAGTCCTATTTTAGCGTGCCTGTGCTAGGGCCCATAAATCCACACTTTAACTAGTTCCCAGAGGGCTGTGGAACACAGACTTGAGAAAGTGCCATAGTCTGAGGACAGAAAAAACCAGCTTCTTCTGCAGACATACTTACATGAATTGGAGTGAATTTTCTGCATTGTCAGTTTTCTTGCCAGTATCAGTGTCTAATCCTTCAGACTTCTACTAACTACGTGTTTATAAATTTATATGCATCCAATAGTTTCCAAGAAGCAATCATTGATATTAAGCTTGCCAAATACATGCAAAACCTTATGCCATAGCTAATTAATCTTTTTATTTTCTAACACAATTCATGTTCCTCATTGGGCTCAGAATTATAAAGCCAATGACAGAAACATTTCATCAAAGTATTTACTGGAATCATCGTTAGAAAGATGGTTAAACAACAGACAAAACATAAAAAATAACCAGGATCTCTATCTTGAGTCTAAAAACAGAAGCAAACTTGTAAACACAATATGAAAAGCAAAAAAATGGTAAAGAGAAGGCTGACTCTTTCATCAGACCTTCTGAAATACCTCCTAGAGTAAAACCCTCAAAACTACATGGAATTTTGATTCAAATTTTTCAAATTTTGTCAGTATGCCATTCAGTATTGTAGCAAGAAAGCCAAGTAAAGGCAGAGAGGTCTGAAGAGAGACTGTTGACTATCGCCATCACCTGCCTCTGCTCTTGCTCTCTGGCACTCATTGCCAGCTGCTGACATCTGTGTATTTCTGATCTACCTCTACGGCTTAACGGAACGGGTCAGGTTTTGTTCACTGCTCATCTGTAACACCTAGAATGATGCCAAGCAAGAGAAGACATTTGGGTGCTATTTTCTGGATTAATTATTGTTAAGTAAATATATGCATAAATCCCTAAGCCAGTTGTCATCAGACAAATGTCTAGGAAGTAACAATGCAGAAAAAAGTCCTGAACTGGGAAAAATAATGGGGACCCAAGGACTGAAGAGATAGAAGAGGGGTTAAGGGGCTGTCTGACATATGGCTGACCCCAGTTCAATGCCTGGCACCACAAAGGTCCCTTGAGGATAGCTGGACAAGACTCACCCCCACCCTCCCGCATCCACCCAGCACGGAGGTTAGAGTAGCACTTGTAGACCACCAGGTGAGACCCCAAACCGAAAAATTAATAAATAAAGATGACTACATTTGAGGAGGAAAGAAGTCGAGATGACAAGCAAGGAAGAACCCTTTACCCTTATCTGCATTGTTTTTATTCTTTTTCCCCCGACCCCATTTTTGGATGCCAGAAATCAAAGCTAGAAAGATAATGCAATATGAATATGAAATATTCATATTGGGGACCAGAAAGATAATGCAATAGGTAATGGTGCTTGCCTTGCACACCGCTGACCTGGGTTTGATCCCTGGTACCACATATGGTCCTGTAAGCCTGCCAGGAGTGATTCCTAAGCACAGAAACAGGAGTGATCCCTGAGCAGTCAGGTGTGACTCCAGAACCAATAATAATAAAATTAATAAAATGTAAGAGAGAAAAACTTATTGCCTTATATTTTCCCAAATTTTTATTTTAAAACTTTTCCATTTGGGGCTGGAAAGGTACCACATGGTCCCCTGAGCACTGCCAGGAGTGATCCCAAGCACCAAACCACGAGTAGGCCTTAAGGACCACTGGGTATGAATCCCCAAATAAACCAAACCAAAAGTCTCTTTAATAGAAACATTTTTTCTCTATTAATTTCATGCTCCAGACTTCTAAGGAAATGAATAACTGAGGCCATGAAATTGCTATTTAAAATACTTAAATATATATACATGCTTCAAGGACATTTTAAAAATAGATGAACTGGTAGACAAGTAATTTAGGCGGAGAGCAATGTTAAGTAATGGCCCTCGAAAATCCACGATGTCCGCACCTACTGCACTCCATATCCTCAGGCCATGGAACGCCAAACATCTCCATCAGCTTGGAGCACTCGCTGTACGCCCGCTGACACAGCCGACGGCAGGGAAGGGTGACGCGCCCATACTCCATACAGATCGGAGCATAGAGTGCGCAAAGAAATGGCCGGAAATCCCGAGAACAATCCAGATTCACCATAGGGTGGAATGGCTGGAAAAAATTAAAATGGAATCATTAGTGAAAGAGTTGAATACAAGTCAAGGTTTCCTACATACAATATTACAATATTCATTATTTTTCCATTAAGAATTTCTAAAGGTTATCAAATTAAGCAGAGAAATTGTCTAGTATTTTTTGTTGTTGCTGTTGTTTGTTTGGTGCGTAGACAACGAAGATAGAAACTGCAGGCAGTGAGCCACATCTATTCAAATGTAAACGTCCGATTCGGGTTGTTAGGCATTGGAATGAATCAATGCTCTTGGCCAAGTTTGTGTTGACAAGGACACCGACGCCTCCAACACCTCTTTTATCGCATGTTCTGAGGAACAATTCTTCTCCAGTGTCGAAAACGGCATGGTGAGATTCTTGTCTTCTTGTCTCGGTCAGACCAATGATGTCGTACTTGATCATTCGCGCTTGTACCATCAGGTCCTCGATGGATGCATCTGATGCTAGCGTACGTGCATTGAAAGTACAGACGATCATTTTTGTCTTCCTTCATTGTGGCAGCCTAGGTCGGCCTTGAGATTTTGTCGGCCTCTCCTTTCTCATCCTTCTCAGTGCTGCCATGTCGGTGAAGCCGTCAGGGTCAGGTGAATGAGACCAGTTGTAGTTACTGGTTTTGGCATATCGAATACACAGCGGATAGCTTGCCAGGCTCTTCCAGGGGTGCGGCAGGGTGATACCATTTCACTGAAACTCTTCAGTGCCACCCTCGAGAACATCATGCGACGACTGGAATGGGAAGGAATGGGAGTGAAGATAGATGGTCGGCAACTACACCACCTCCGCTTTGTTGATGACATTGTTTTAATAACACCAAACATCAGCCAAGCAGCACAAATGCTGGCCGACTTTGACCGTGAGTGTGGAAAGGTAGGACTACACCTGAATCTTAAGAAGACAATGTTTATGAGAAACAGCCTTGTTCCTGATGCCCCATTCGCTCTCAATGGAATGACCATCTCCGAATGTAACAGCTATGTGTACCTAGGTCGAGAGGTCAACATGACAAATGACATGGCACCCAAGCTGCGCAGGAGGAAGAGAGCGGCTTGGAACGCCTTCAAGAACGTCAAAGAAATAGCTAAGAGGACGAAGAACCTCCGGCTCCGGGCACATCTCTTTGATTCCACTGTTCTTCCTGCATTAACATATGCCTCAGAGACCTGGGCCCTACGCAAACAAGATGAGAACGCTATTCAGGTCTCCCAAAGAAGAATAGAAAGAGCTATGCTTGGAATATCACGTTTCACTCAAATGAGAGAAAGAATCCGGAGTTCTGACATCCGTTGACGATCAAGGATCAGGGACGCTGTCTCATTTGCCAAGGTGTCGAAAATCAGATGGGCTGGTCACTTAATGAGATTTAAAGACGACCACTGGACTAGAGCTGTTACTGACTGGATTCCACGGATGTCAAAAGACCGCGTGACCGCCCACCTACCAGATGGTCAGACTTCTTCGTCAAGATCATGAACGATCGGTTTGAGGCCCTTCATGTTCCCGGAGCGAACAGATGCCATTGGGCTACACTAGCACGCGACAGGGACAAATGGAGACGTTACTGGCGCCCGCTCGAGCAAATCGCCGACTAACGGGAAGTTAAGTGATTAAGTGATTAAGTTGTTTGTTTAAAAAAAAAACCATTATCCATGGGGCTGGAGCGATAGCACAGCGGGTAGGGCGTTCGCCTTGCATGCAGCCAACATGGTCGACACAGGTTCGATTCCCAGCATCCCATATGGTCCCCTGAGCACTGCCAGGAGCAATTCTTGAGTGCATGAGCCAGGAGTAACCCCTGAGCATCGCCGGGTGTGACCCAAAAAGCAAAAAAAAAAAAAAACAAAAAAACCCATTATCCTAACCTTGGAAATCCTGATTTGGTTAAGTCAGAGATATATTACAGAATCTATACACATGTTTTAGTTGTTAAATTATAATTTCTAACACTGTAATCTAATAGTAAGGAAACAAAATAAAAAAAAAACCAGTGTCCCCAAATATAAAACTATGATAAAATAATCATTACATGACAGGAATAGAGCAAATATTTCAAGGAAAGTACATCTGGACTTTGGATTATCAATTCTTTTTTTCTACTTGTTTATATAAAAGCTTCACAGTCATTGTTGATTTTTCAGCTGCAAACAGTCTTACTTAGCAGACGTGTCTATTGGGTAAGAATAAATAAACTTATCTGACATTGATATATGTATTTCAAGCACCCATGAGTCAAAGAAGAAATCCAGGAAGGAAAAAAAAAATTGTCTAGAAGCAAAAGGGGAGGAAGAACCTATCCCCACATCTCAATAAAGTAGAAAAACAATAACAAATGAAGTCCAAAATAATTCAAAGACAAGAAACGGGAGGCATCACACTCCCTTCAACAAAGCCCGGTCACCAAAGAATGTCCTGTTGGACTCAAGGCAGACTCTGCCAATGGAAAAGAACAAGAGACCAGAAGTGATCCCCCAGGTATGGTCATCTAGAACAAAGGACAGAAAGCCTCTTCAAATGGGAGGAAAACTGGTAGGCCACTTATCAAAAAAAAAAAAGAAACTGGAGCATTACCTCATGTGTATGAAACAGTTAGTAAAAATGGATTAAAGGCCAGAGACAGAGGTAAAGACATTTGCCTTGCATGTGCCAACCCAGTCTACTACCTGGTACCACATTTGTTCCACCAAACACTGACAGAATTAATCCCTAAACAGAGAACCAAGAATTAGCCCTGAGCCCCACTGTGTGTGGTCCATTCCCACGTCCCCCCCACACACACACACACTGAATTAAAAACTCAACATTAGACTTGAATCCATGTACTGAGAAAAACATAAACTCTCCATGACACTGATGATCCATGATCCAACCCCATTGATAAAGGGGAGGAAAAAAGTATAAGTTTAAAAGTAGGACTGTATCAAACTAAAAAGCTGTGTCCTGTGATGCAGTGATGGTGTTTGACTATCACTGTCCACTCTCCTGTATCACTGTCCCCCTGTTGTTCATCGATTTGCTCAAGCGGGCACCAGTAATGTCTCCATTATGAGACTCGTTGTTAGTATATTTGGCATATCGAATACACCATGGGTAGCTTGCCAGACTTTGCCGTGTGGGAGGGATACTCTTGGCAGCTTGCTGGGCTCTCCAAGAGGGGTGAAGAATTGAACCTGGGTTGGCCACGTGCAAGGCAAATGTCCTACCCCCTGTGCAATTGCTCCAGCCCATAGGTGTGTGACTAAAACACAAATATTAATACAATCATAATCTGGGCTGGAGTGATAGCACAGCGGGTAGGGCATTTGCCTTGCACGTGGCCAACCTGTGTTAGATTCCTCCACCCCTCTCAGAGAGCCCGGCAAGCTACCCAGAGTACCCTGCCCACACAGCAAAGCCTGGCAAGCTCCCCATGATGTATTCGATATGCCAAACACAGTAACAAGTCTCACAATGGAGACATTACTGGTGCCTGCTCGAGCAAATCAATGAACAACAGGAGGATAGTGCTACAGTGCTGCTATCACAATTCATTATACCCTCAATAAAAATATCACATTAAAGACGATTACTTTGGGGCCAGAGAGAGGTAAGGCACTTGTCTTGCATGCTCCCAACCACGTTTCTGTCCCCAGTACTACACACCACCAAGAATTACTCCTGAGAACAGAGTGAAAAATTCCTAGCCAATTGGGCTGGCAGGTCAATGCAAGGCCCAACAATAGTGCTGCATAGGCCCTGTGGTGACAGGGGTTACCCGGGCGATCCTGGCTGTGCTGGTGGCACTCAGGGCCACACACTTCAGTATTCACAGGCTTGCCCGGACTGCACCCAGCAATGCTGAGGGAAAACATATTGCTAGGGATGAAACCAGGTTTCACAGTGTGCCAGGCATGTGCCATAACCTCTGTACTATCTCTCTGACCCCAAGAAGGATGTCCTGAAAAGCAAAAGCTGCAAACCTCTCAGTAGCCAGTGAGAAACTCTAAAGAGACCCTTGAGTTTCAATCATGCTCTAAGTTTAAGATTGCAGACCTAAAGGAGGAAAAACGCAACAGACTGAGTAGGATCCAGGAATTCCAGAAAGTAAGAGGAAAGATTATCTTCTCTACCTGCCTTTGCTTCAGTTCCATCTTTTGTGAGCTTCAAGCGAAAATTGTGAGACTGGATGGTTTTGTTTTGTTTCTTTCCCCTTGGTTGACAAGAACTAAGCTTGTTCTCTTGATCTCCACACTGACTGAATAATTGTAGGGTTTATTTTACAGGTTAAGACCCAGGTTCAACTAAGAAGTAGGCGGATTTTGTCTTACAATTGAAGGCATGGTTTCAGAAACATTAAGGAGAAAACTCCGGAAATAAAAGTAGAGAACTATTTTGAAAGTAAATAAGGAAAGCTTTAAACAATTAAATAAAGAAATAAAAATTTCCCCTGTAGCTGGAGAGATTACACAGGGGTTAAGACACTTGCCTTGCAGCTGCTGACCTGGGTTCAAGCCCCAGCACCAGTGAATCTTGGGCTCATATCACAAAAATTAAGAATGTAAAGACAGGGGCTAGAACTGATATACCAAGAGTAGCACACCACATTTGAAGGTAGAAGACAGTCAATCTTGATTTTAAAAAATTATATATATATATATGTGTGTGTGTGTGAGAGAGAGAGAGAGAGAGAGAGAGAGAGAACAGTATATTAGCACACAAGACTCAAATTCTAGCAACTTGTTAATGATCTCTAATTCAGGGACTTAATGGTTCCATGATGAGATGCAACAATTTTCACACACTTTCCTCTAAGAAACCTTTTTGGATCATTTTTAGTCAATTACTTATAACAAGCAATACAAAATAAATTATTTACCATCTGCCTTTGGGGTGGTGGTGGGAAGGTATAATGGTAGTGGGAAGATGTAATGGTGGTGGGATTGGTGTTGAAATTTTGAGTGTACCCAATTAATATGAACAGCTCTTTGAAAATAAAAACAAATAAATAA